TCATAGTGACATGCAAGCCTCCACTGACAGATGGGTAGTAACTGTGCATAAAGTGCATTGGCTCAGGACTGAGCTCAGGTCTCCTGCAGCCCATTCCAAACCCACTGCCGTCAAAGCGAGTCCAACTCATAATGACCCTACAGCGCAGCGGTTCTCAATCTGTCGGTCATGACCCCTTTTACAGGGGTCATCTGATTCAAAACAATAGCCAAATTATAGTTATGAAGTAGCAACGAAAATAACTTTATGGTTGGGGGGGTCACCACAACATGAGAAACTGTATGAAAGGGTGGCAGCATTAGGAAGGTTGAGAAACACTGCTATAGAGGGTTTCTGGGGGCTGTAAATCTTTATGGGAGCAGGTAGCTTCCTCTTTCTTCTAAGTATCACCTGGGGAATTTGAACCTCTAGCCTTATGGTGTTTGAAACCTGACAACTTTGCATAGCACAAGTAGAAACAACATTGACCTGGCTTCAGTGTGAAACCCTAGAGCTGGTTAATGCTTTCTTCTGGGGAGGTTTCAGTAACTGGCTGTATGTGAGGATTGTAGCAACTGATTTCTAGCTAGAATGAGGCTCTATGTTTAAATTATGCTGTGGCAGTTTCAGTTTCCCAAGATGTTCATGCATTGGAACAATTAATGCTAAACTGTAATATTTTGACATGATAATAAAAAAGAATTGGTGGCTTTAATATATCTTGCAGTAAATCTTTAGTAAAATTGTTATCATGAAATTTTTAGTGATACTAAATTAATCAAATAGCATTAAGGGTGGGCAGATAGCAATTGAAATATTTGAAATTTGAAAGACAACAGTGAATCATCCACATAGAAGGGGACCATTTGAAACATGGAAATGGAATCTTGAAAACAGATCATTCCACCAATGTATTCAGAGAATTAAATAGTGTAAAGGAAGAACTTCTGATTTCCCTTCCTATCTCCTTCTCTCTCCTCAGCCCTCCTACTCTTTTCCTGCTCCTCCTCCCCTTTCTGTTCCCTATCCTTTCTTCCTTCACCTGCTCCTCTCTTTTCCCCTTATCCTAACCAGTTCTAAGGACACACTATGAGACCAGCACTGTGCCATGTGTATTTTATGAATTACATGTGCAATTTAATAATATCAGTACCTGCATTTGAATAATTCCACAGCTAATATTTGCATCATCATACATATTAAGACACCATGTCTTGAGTACACACTTCAGTAACTTGCCCCCAACTACACAGCTCGCATGTGGCAGAACTGGAAATGAGGTGGTCCACACTAGAGCTCTTCTTTGTGCCTGGGGCCCAGGGCTGCTCACTTAAGTTAGTGATGCTCGTGATACGTACACTGTGGAGGAGGAGGTGGGGGAAGAATGGAACACAGAGCACCTCAGAGACTTTCCCAAGGTTGCCTACTAGTCGGTGGCAGTGCAATTCATCCAGTTTCCTGATTCCAGTTTGCTCCTCTCTCCACAGGGCCAAGTTGCTAAATGCACAAATAGAACTGTTAGTACCTTAACTTCTGGCAACACAGAACACCCTGACCATGTTCCTGGTTCTAAATTACTTTGTTACCTAAACTGTGTTAACCTTTGAATATGCAGCATAAAAGGCTAAATACAGCAATGTAGAAGAAAATATACAGGTCTAACACTCTCCTTAACAGATTTAAAGAGAAAGGCATGATGATATAAGATTTAATGCTTTGTTTCCCTGACTCAATAACACAAACATATGTATATGAATTTATCATTTAAATTCACTGTGGAGACTATACTGAGTCTGTGGTGTTCAAATAGTATCCCCCCTGGGCAGATGGCCTCTGCTCTCACTGAGCCTAACAGCTTCTTCATGACCTGGGCGAGTCATGACTGCTGGTTATCCATTTTAGCAGTTGCCTGTGGATCAGAGACCCTGACT